TGATAGAAGTCACATGAGTGGATAGACAAGAACTCTACAGAGAGAGTTTAAACACCATGTGTTGATAGAAGTCACATGAGTGGATAGACAAGAACTCTACAGAGAGAGTTTAAACACCATGTGTTGATAGAAGTCACATGAGTGGATAGACAAGAACTCTGAGAGAGAGTTTAAACACCATGTGTCGATAGAAGTAACACGAGTGGATGGACAAGAACTCTTCAGAGAGTTTAAACACCAGGTGTCGATAGAAGTCACGTGAGTGAATAGACAAGAACTATACAGAAAGAGTTTAAACACCAGGTGTTAATAGAAGTCACATGAGTGGATAGACAAGAACTCTACAGAGAAAGTTTAAACACCAGGTGTCAATAGAAGTCACATGAGTGGATAGACAAGAACTCTACAGAGAGAGTTTAAACACCAGGTGTTAATAGGAGGAGTCACAAATTGATAAAGGAACTCTTTACAAAAACCCTAATCCTCAGGTGCTTCCAGGAGGAGTCATGAGTTGATGAAGGAACTCTTCATGAAATTTTAAACACCAGGTGCTGATAGGATGCATCACATGAGAAGGTGAAAGATCTAAAAGAATTTTCAAATATGACAGAATGTGGATATTTCAGTATGACAGATATTTTTCCAATAGTATACCTGATGAAGAAATGAAAGAGACTAGAATGTTTATTTCACTCGAGTAAAATGTTTGCTTCATACACACGGGACACTTCTTATATACTCAAACAGGGATGTTTCAATAACACACGATCTCAAACTGCAATGTTTGTCTTATGTAAAATGTGACTAAATCCATACTGTACAACTTAAACATGTATTGAGAAGACTGGGCTTAAAGTCGGCAAAGGACAAATATAAGTGTATGTAATGTTTTTATGAACTAGCAAAATAATGCTAAAGAACATATCAAACTGTTAAGTTTTAAAACTATACACAACTTTCAAAATACACAGAAGTTCTAATCTTTCAACTATTCTCAGTACAAAATAGCATGATTTCAAATGATAAATAGCATGAGTTTAAATGAAATATATCGTTCAGATGAAGAAATGATAAACATAAAAGGTCTACTTTTTTCCCTATATATTTTTTTTGGTCATAGCTTAAATTTTCAAATCATCTACTTTAATATTTTCTATTATTTGTTAAACATATCTTCACATCAGAAGTTTGTTATTTTTAGTTAAACGTTTGTATTTCAAGATAATAATACTTTAGGACATAAAAAACAAAAAAGCATGCATATTTTAAATAGAGCTTCTAATAAAAAATTTATTTTACTTTTTCTATAATTAAAACTACGATCTACCAGTAACTTTTATGATGGACTGTTATCAGACTTACTTTACAAGAAAAGGTAACACCACAGCTATGTAAACTAATCGGGAACTTGTGGAAACTTGCAGTAAGTAATAGGCATATTTTGGAACTCAATAAGAGAAAAAGAAAATCTGAAACTTACTGGCCTAACATTAGTGGACTCTTTACATGAAAATAATCAGACTTTAGCTCAAGCAGCTGAACACAGATCTGATGATTTAGTGTGTAAAAAATGCTGATTAAAATTAAACCATTATTACAAACAACCATATGAGGACTTACACCAACTTGTACATACACATAAAAGTGTTACAGTAAGAGTGCACAAAGAAAGATCATAGTATAGACTTTAACAAGAATTTCTTTATAAAAAATGTGGTACCATATTTAATCAAACTAGATTTAAATTCTTAACAAGGAAGCCTCATCAATAACCGTAATGTGTCCAGATATCAAACCCTTTCTCACATATCAAACTAATGCAAATATAATTATTTTCCAACAACACCTCTTCGTTGTCACAATTTAAGACAAAAACATACATTCGCTATTACCACAAAAATTTCTCTGAGCAATCATGTAGAGTTCTGAGAAGAAACCTGAATCATGAACCGAGGAATAACAAAGCCGAAGATACAAACATCATCATTCACTATGCATCATTAAGTGTACAAGAGCTTCAAGTCCTTGGCGAATCCCTTCATCACTACCAGGATGAAAAGGTTTTACTATCCATTTCCTTCCTTGGAAAACTCCTTGAAGAAATTCTTTTATCTAAATGTGAAAACAAATAATCTTTTAACAACTATTTACTACTACTAAGGATTAACTAGTTGTCCTAACAGGTCATGGAAGATGTTGTTTCTATGGATACAGAGAAATTTATTGATCTGCCATACTAACCCGAACTTTAATTGGTTACGTAAAGTATGTAGTGTGTATCAGTGAGCAGGACATTGGGAAGGTCAACGGACATTATTCAGAACAGAAAGGTGCTAGCAGTAGCTTCATTTAGGGATATTCTGATTAAGAACGACAGTTTCTGATTGACCTTGTACCATAACCAAACTTTCCTGAATAAAACATGAATCTGTTGAAACTTTGTGTCTTTAGAATAAGTTTTTTTTTTGTTTGTTCTTTAAGCACAAAGCTGCACAATATATTCTCTGTGCTGTGCATGAATCAAACCCCAAATTTTAACATTATAAGTATTCAAACTTACTCTTAAGCTACCAATTAGAACAATTAGTTTTTAAGATAAATTATTTCAAAAATCATTTTTAATTATAAGCATGCTGTATATGCAGATACATGTGTGTGTGTGTGTTTGTACTTTCTATTAATTCAGCTAGAATTTTTTCTTTTGTCTTTATTCTTAAAAGTAGGGTTCTTAACAACAAAACAACTAAATGTCTAAGAGCTATACACTTTAAAAAAGTTAATTAAATATATTTATTAATTTACCTACAATTATAATAGAATTTCTCTCGAACACACATAAAATCCAGATTTGTAGCACATACCTCTTTAATGGTCTTACATTCTGGTTTATCAAGATGAGTAACAAGAATGAGACATGGTAAACCTTTTAATGCTGAATCAGAAAGTACAGCTTCTAAAGCTTCCTTGGAAAGTTCTTCTTCTTCTTCATTGGCCGATGCATTCACTACAAACACAATACCATGTTGACCTTGGAAGTATTTGTTCCAAAATATCTTTACCTCTTCTGCTCCTATTTGGGTATATAAATATGCATATGTACTTAAAATAGCAAATTTTGAACGATGGATAAAAAAATAAAACTGTAATAACTGCTAAAAACCAACATAAAATTTTTAAAATATCCAGTTAACTATCAAACCCTTCCAGCTGCATCCATTAAAATCTCTAAATTACATATATCACATCTGTCCAATCACACATCTTATATTCACCAAATTATGGACATTACGTATATTCCCTTTTTCAACACACACATACATTTCAGGTCATATAAATCACTATTTTCAGATTACATTTTAATCTTCAAAAACAAACAGAATATTCACAACCTAACAAATAAATAAGATTTAAAAAAATATTTTTCTCAAACTGTTAAACATTCAAATCACAGGTTTAAGGTAAATTTAAATTTTCAATCAGAAATTTTATGCATCCTTTAGTATTTACAGTTGCTGTTTTACATGTTTGAACATTTTCACTTTACTCAAATAAATAATTACAAAAGAGGATTACAAGTGATGAAGAATTTGTCATTTTTAAAGCTCCCCATCTTTTGCTTTCAGAACATTTATAAAAAGAATCTGAATTTTTACGTTGATTTGAATTCATACCTTTTATTTATAACAACTGTCATGGTGTGAACACCTCTGCTGGCAAAATATGATTTCAATAAACTGTATTTGCCATAAAACAAATTATTTAACTCAACATTTTTTATTCAGTTGCTTAGGTTTCTTTCTTAAAAGAAAAGTATTTTAAACATACTATGTTTCCCATCCATTACCAATAATGTGTTTTGTTCAATACCAGAGATCATCAGGTCAAATGGGATACTAGTAGCAGTCAGAAAGGATACTGGTAGCAGTCAGAAAGGATACTGGTAGCAGTCAGAAAGGATACTAGTAGCAGTCAGAAAGGAAACTAGTAGCAGTCAGAAAGGATACTAGTAGCAGTCAGAAAGGATACTAGTAGCACTCAGAAAGGATACTAGTAGCAGTCAGAAAGGATACTAGTAGCAGTCAGAAAGGATACTAGTAGCACTCAGAAAGGATACTAGTAGCACTCAGAAAGGATACTAGTAGCAGTCAGAAAGATTTTTATAGAAGCTCTAAGGAACCGAATACATAATGTAGTATTTAAAAATGCAATAAAAGCCTAACATTATTCTCTTTAAAAATTGCTATTTTTTGAAACATAACAAATTAAAAAGTATGTTAGGAATAACAATGTAAACACAAATTATCTATACACAGTGGCCCAGAAGTTAGTTTTGCAAGAGGAGTATATTAATTCTTTTTAAATGTCAGGTTAACGAGTGAGGTACACCTGCTGACAAAGGACCAATGAGTTTTAGTGCTGCAAGTCAACACGAGGATTTAATATAGAGCAACTAACTTTCAGACACCACCTTGTATGTTATTTGTTTGTCAATATGCACATCTTACCTCCCAATTCTTTAATGTTCATCGTAGTTTCCAACACCGGAAGAGTTTTAATATTGAAACCTAAAACAAAACATCACTAATACATCAATAAATTCATTGATATTTTAACCCCCAATAATTAACCCTTTCACCGAGGCTGGGACGTATATAGAATTGGCTAAAAAGTATCTGTTTATTTAAGCAACAAATAATATCAACTCTACTTAATCCATGACATCAATATGTACACGTGTGTGTGTGTGTGTGTCAACGCACATCATAAAAACTACCTTCCTCAAGCAATCTCAAAAATACTAAAGAAATAACAACATACGTCATATCCTTCTTTCACAAACTTTACACAATAAACACATTTTAACATCAATAGCAGACCTGGGTGATTAGTAGAATTTGATAATTAATTAATCAATTGACTGATTAATTGAGTTGTAAATAAAGAATAGTAATAATCAAAAACATTAATTTCAATTAGTTGACTATTTTCAGGAATCACAACATTAATCGATTAAGCTGAAAAATCATTAAATAATTGTAAATAATAAGAAATCATAATGGTAATATTTCAATAACACGGGTAGTTGGAATAAACAAAAACAGTAATATTAATCTTCATTAGATGATTATTTTCACAACATTAATCAATTTAATCATAATTTTGATCAACTGGTTACTTTATGTGACAATTTTAGTTTAGGCAATGATATTTCTTTGTACAAGATATATTTTTCATTACCCGTTGTTGGTTCTATGTTCTCTATGGGTTCTCCAACTAAAGATGCTAACGCTGTCGATTTTCCCACACCTTTCAAGCCTAAACAAAGAACTTCATACTGTTCTTTAGAAACAACTTGTGATTTCTGACACTGCATCCACTGGCAACACTAAAAATAATATACAAAACTTTGTACACTAAATATTGTAACATATTTTAATATACAAAACTTTGTACACTAAATATTGTAACATATTTTAATATACAAAACTTTGTACACTAAATATTGTAACATATTTTAATATACAAAACTTTGTACACTAAATATTGTAACATATTTTAATATACAAAACTTTGTACACTAAATATTGTAACATATTTTAATATACAAAACTTTGTACACTAAGTATTGTAATATATTTTCTTCACTGACCTATTTCTATCGTTGTACCTCACAAAAATTCCAAACTATAGATTTATACAAAACATATAAAAAAACGATGCCGAGCAATATGATAGCTATTTTTAGAAATCCCATTCTTCACCAGAATTCTAAACATATATATCCTTGTATTTGATTTGTTATTTAATGTTCCTTCATTAACTGGATCATTGAATTAGTTATACAAAAATGTTTTTGTGTAAGTTTACAACATAACTACATCTTAGGTACTTATCATCACACGATATATTCGTTGCTCTAATTCCAAGTACTTACAATAAAAAAGGAATAATCATAAAATTCATTTCCACCTTCAAGTGCAAAACATGTCAGAGCCACTAATTCATTTATCCAAAATCTATATGGTGTTTTACGTTCAAATGACAAATTAACCTCTCAGCTTCATTACACTTAACAATCATAAGATTACAAAAATAACATTACGTAAGTGTGAACAACACTACACATGGTTGTCACATTAACTTAATTTACAACCCCACCTAATATCTATATGGTGTTTTACGTTCAAATGACAAATTAACCTCTCAGCTTCATTACATTTAACAATCATAAGGTTACAAAAATAACATTACGTAACACTATACATGGTTGTCACATTAACTTAACTTACAACCTCACCTAATATCTATATGGTGTTTTACGTTCAATGACAAATTAACCTCTCAGCTTCATTACATTTAACAATCATAAGGTTACAAAAATAACATTACGTAAGTGTGAACAACACTACACATGATTTGTCACATTATCTTAATTTACAACCCCACCTAATATTGTTTTATCTGGTGTTCATGTATGAATAGTTTTATTCAAAACCTCTGGATGAAACTAGTTCAGAAAAAGTTTCATTATACTCAAGAGCCAATTGTGTTATTTCACAAAAGCAGAGCAAAGGTCAAATGAACAGAAAATTGGCATGTACATGTATACAATTAAATATAACCATATCATAGATTAGAGTTGAGAACATGTAGTTTGTTTGTTGTTTTCGAAAACCTTATGAAAATTAATTTTATTTACTATCATCATAAATTCTTTTTTCTTGAATGTTTTTCTACATTACTTTAATAAGTTACTATAGACAAGTAGACAATAAATTCTCTAACTTCATTAATGAAACTTATAAAGAAATACCTAACTTTTGTATATCATTATAATCATCTTTTGAACACGTATGACATTCTATTACAATGTCCTCTAAATTTATTTATATTGTAATATCAACTTATCACTCTCAGTATTATCTGCACTTATACAAACAAATATTTTAAGTTTAAAAAACAAAACATTATATTGTAAGTAAATTAAACATTAAAATAAACCAATCATCATGTTAGAAAAATAAAACTGACTTAACTGGATGCATATCTTATATTTATCCTGTCAATTTCCCAGATAAATTCAATAAAACCATCTAATTAATACCTTTCTTTTCTCTTCATAAGTAAGATCTTAACCCAATCCCATAAGATAACCCTATAACCCCCAACATCATTCTCCCCTGAAACCTTCCTTTCAATAACTGTGCACAGTATTCTAACTGAGGCTTAATTAACAATCTGTACAAAGACAATTATCTCTATTGACTCATTATCAATGTGTAATTAAATACACTATAAAATTATATTAACTTTACTATTAGCAGCACAAAACTGCCTTCATGGCTAGAGTGACTTATCCATCACCATGTCAATGACCTTTTCTTCAGCTATGAGTAGGTTACCATCTATATTAAACGTGTGATCCAAATTATGATAACCCAAAACAATTAAATATAAGTAGACGATAAAATTAACACAACAAAACAATAACTGTTATCACTTTTAGTTGATCCTTTTCTGTCGTGTTTTTTGTTCAAATGAATATTTATATAAACCTTATTATGGGTACATATAAAAATATAATACATATAAACTTGTTTTATATTTCATAATCTGTTTATTAAACTTGTCATGTCATCCTGAGATTATTGACCTAGTGATACAAGTCATTAAATAAACAAAAATACTTATATGCATCTTGACTGTACTGTTATACCACTTCTACACTTTAACCTTCTGTTTTAACTTATATTTCACACTAGCTTGATAACAAGCTAAGAACTTCCAAATATGAACAGAAAACTAAATAAACTATAAATCTACCTACCTTACCTAGTCCAATACAGCATGCAGCAAGTCCAAACTGTATACTTTCTAAGAAGCTTGGCATGATGAGCAATTTGTTTGGTTTTGACATATAATCTTTCACTCACCAATGTCAACCTAATGATGAGATGAGAATTCAGCAGTAGGTGTATCAAAAAAAAAAAGATTAGGCCCCCTATGTCATCTCTTCGTCACTGAAATTCACATTTTGGAGAGGAAAAGAAATTGATGAGAAATTGTCAGGCAGGATAATGGAGTCATAACATTAACTTTTATTCTTTTCAGTGTATATTCAATAACAAATAATATTTAAAAAACAATCAATTACTCTGTTATAAATGTTTGGTCTCATTTTTATTTACCAAAAATTAAGTATGTTAGTAAACAGTTTCATTAAACATATAACCCATGGGATATATATACACACATGCACAAATGATGTATTAGTGAATCATGATCGAGATAATTCTCATCTAGTCAAAATCATTTTTTTTCCTTAGTATATAAAACATAACTCTACAATTACTCTTAGTATAGACAAATCCTTGTCCAACTTACCTATACACAGCTGATTATTAACATTTATTTTCTATGGCAATTTTTTTTATTATTTCATCATAAATCAAATGTAAATTCAATATATATGAAAACTCATTACAACTTACAAGTTAATTTACAAAAGTCAAAGCAAATTTTATATGAATTATTGTTATCTCGACCTCTTCTTTACTCTAAAAAATAGTCTAAACAACATTAATTTTTTTACCTTCTAATAATTTGCTGTGTGTATTACAACAACTGTTTTTAAAAAACTTCGTGACGCTACACTCTAATTCTCATGTTGTTTTCTGAGGAAAAACACGCAGAATTATTTCAATTTTACTCTATTTACATTATAGTTAACTATACTAGGAGTAGTAATTGTTGTACAACTACAAGTCTCCGAGTTATTCGACCTTCGTAATTCGTAGGTAAAGTTTAGGAAGCATCAAATGTACGTTCAATAATTCATCAAATACAAAAACACTCACTACACCACTAACGTAATTCTAATTTCTATCAGTATCACTATCAGGCCTAATATTACAAATAGTACTATATTACTAGTCCAAGTTCTAATGAGAGGTTAAACAAGACAGAAAATATTATTGGTTAATATTAGGCAACCCATCAAAAAGACAATTTACTTAAAAAATTAAAGGTTACCGAAACATCATTGTGAAATCAATATATATCCGAGAGGTAATTGGCCCACCTAGTACTAATAGTAGTAGTAATCTAAGGTTAATAAGTTTAATTCTGTATTTTTTTAACACAACTATTCATCTTTTAACAAATTCTTGATTTGTACACAACAAGCTTGTCATATTTATATCTGGAAAACTGCATACTTTGAATGTTACTGGCGTGAATATTAACGATTTTAAAAACCAGGACAACAATCAGAATGTTCAAAAATTAATCCTTCGAAAGCTTGTAAACAGTTTACTTTCGCAGTCGTTGTTGACTTAAAGCGCCACATTAACGTGTAAACAAATATATAAGAGGGCGTAAATTTTATAGTTAGTAAAAGTTAAAGAAGTGATCAAGAAATTGAAATCAATTTTTAAAAATCTGCATTTAATTGAGGAATGATAAAATAAGAATTTGAACTTTGTGAAAAAACATTTAATTTGCTTTTCGTTGTTTTCAGTGCCGAGCCAAATTCAGTTTGAAAATATTTCACGCTGATATATCGATTTTCAACGTTTATTTTTCTTGGTAAATTATACCATTCTTAACGTACAAACTATAAAGTGCACCTTATTTTTAAAAACTGCATTACGTTTTTTTTGTTATACCTTAAAACATAACCTGATTTCTACGTAATACTTGACAATTCGAATAATATTAGAAATGAAAGATTTGTTTATTTGTTTCATTTTAGAATTTCGTGCAAAGATACTAGAGGACTCTCTGCACTAGCCGTCCCTAATTTAGGATGATAGAACTAGAAAGAATGGAGCTAGTCAACATTACCCACGATCAACTCTTCTATCAACGAAAAGTGGGATTTGCTGAAAAATTATCATGCCCCTCGGCTGAAAGGATAAGCAGATTGTGAGTTGAGTGCCCTAACCATAGAAATTGGGGGATGCACTTCAAAAGTACATTGAGGAAGAATGGATGCTATTTTTCGAAAACTCAAAGTGCAACAACAGTAAAAAAAATTACGTGGTGTAGTATTCATATATTATCACTTTAAAAACACATTTATGAGCATGAGATTTCGACCAGGAGGCATTTCTTCAGGCGCATAAATGCTACAACAAGCGGAATGATTGAAGAAAAAACAAACGAATATTTATTGTTAGAGGTTCAAACAGTTTTGAATTTAATTTTAAAAAATCGATAATTTTATCATATTTGAATTGCAAAGCTGCATTATGATAAGAAGTATAATGAACCTACGATCCCTAGTAGATTAATGAACTTATATTTATGATATGATAACTTTAATAGTCGATACTGCCAAAACGCTTGTTTTTTTATACTCAAGCATAAAGCTATATAATGAGCTATCTGTACTGTGCCCCTGCCAAAACGTAAAGCTTAGGTTGGTACGTAAACGTCAACAGAAAAAATTTAGCATTGGCAAACATCACTTGTTGCGTGCACACACACCCCTTCTCCCCCAAAAGCACAGCAATATGTCTGCGAATAAACTAGAAGAGGCATGAAATATAATGTTACGTATTTGTTTGTTTGTTAATTCCTGGTAGAAATTCTTTCCGAGGAACTTCAGCGACACAAGTCCTTTCTTGATTAAAACCAGTTTATTCTTTCTCGGTACAAACTTTTAGTACACAGTAATTCCACAGTCAGTGCGTTTCTCGTCACTTAAAGTTAACAACTTTTATAATACACGTTATAAACCACAGCGATTCACAATCTCGATAACTTCGCCCGAAACTTACCGTGACTACTGTTCGCTTTATCATACATTCATTTTCCCAAGCTTTCTCTGTCAGGCTTATATACTAAAAAGAGAGGGCGTCTCGAACAACTCGGGCTTACCCGATAATTCATGATCATTCGACAAATTATCACGTGTTACCAGGGTCACGTGACTTCCGCTGTCGTAACAATAAGTTAAAACTAAATTCAACTTTATTCTTGTTGTTTTCTCTTTTTTTTTACATTCACGATAACATTGCTTTTTGTTAATAGGTATTCTTGAAGTTATATTTTTTGAAGAAAATACTAAACTGTGTTTTCTCTTTTATGTGTAAGAAACAGATTTGCAAACTAATCTGTATCGTACCCACTCATCATTGTGTTAAAAAAAATGTAATTTTTAATGAGGCATTCACTTTTCAAATATTTTGTTACCAAGTCAAAAACTTGTAATTTTGTATCTATCTTTTTTTACGAAGTTTACCACTTGCAGAAATTGAGAACTGTCTTATTGCTAATTTCATGATACTTGAAGTTTGTTTGTTTGTTTGCTTGCTTGTTTTGAAGAAAAGCCACGTAGGGGCTACCTGCTGTGTCTACTACGGGGAATCGTACCGCGGATTTTAGCGTTATAAGTCTGTAGACTTACCTCGGTCCTACCAAGGGACGGGTTTGAAGTACAACAAACTATCATCACACAACTACTTTATTCTTTGGAAATGAAGTACCGGTATCTAGATAAATGTTTGAATCGCAGAAAAGAAGAAAAAAAATAGCTTTATATAATACAAAGTATTGGTACAGAAAGATTATTATAAGTGGTCTTAATTGAACAAAATTATGTGGAATAATTATTCCATGTTATTATTATTTTTGAATAATCTCACAGTATCACAGACATACGTGTTTCTAAAGAAACTGAAACATTTAAAAAATTCTAAGTATTGATTATGATATTTTCTCTATATATGTTTACTATTGCCCTGAGTGTATATATAATTTCAAAGAAAGCTGTGACTGGATTTCTTTCTTACTGTTGTCTTTCCTCGGAACAGTAATTTGTACTATCTAACATGCTACATTTTCTATTGACTTCTACTAAGTTTCAGTTGAAAGAAATATTGATGCAGTGTAATAATTCATAAAACAGTATTCGTTGCAAATATGTTCACAAATGCTATCATTGATCATGGTGTTACGTCTCTGTGTTCGTTTGTTAATTTTCCGTTGAAATTCTTTCCGAGAAACTTCAGTGATACAAGTCCTTTCTTAAATAAAACTAGTTTATTCTTTCTCAATTCAACTTTGCAATACACTTAATTTCCACAGTCACTTTAACTGCAACACATGCTAGAATTCACAACAATTCACGCACTTTACTTACGGCCACTACCGTGCTTGACTCAATTGTTCATCTCTGTCTGTCTGCAATTCTATTCTGATTAATTAATTTCGCTTTATCTGGCGCACTTATATACAAGAATAGAGGGCGCGTAGAAAAGACCACAGTTGCCAGGAACAGATATGATCCTTCTAGAATATCATGACGTGTTACTAGCGTCACGTGACTTCCGCTGTCGTAACAATGGTTTGCCTAAAATGGTTGTGATATATATATACTTTAAAAAACATATTGACCTTAAGTTATTAATAATTAGTACAAATTAGATGTGTGTTTTTTTTCTATTTAACAACAGTTCATTAAGGGATTGGCGGTTAACGTTGGAAATCATACTGAGTAATTAGACCTTCCTTGTAAGCATATGACAGACCTACAGTAACTAAAAGATGTGCATGATACACGCTGTAAATTGTTAATACAACGATTAATTATAACACTAATTAATAAAAGCGAACTATGTACTGATAAATTTTGTTCAAGCGAATAAAATTTAAATTGAGTATAAACCATTCATCAAATTAATTATTTTTTCACACAGAAAATATATAATATACTGAAGTGAAATTCATATCTGAATATTATATATATTGTTGCGTCAGCGAGGTCACGTGACTAGTATCACGCCACCTGTTTTCTAGAAATATCCTGTTCCTTCGTGAATGCCCTAGCATTTACTAGATTGAGGGTAGCCTGGTATATATAAGATGGTCACAACGTGACGGGATAATGTGTAGGTAATGAGTAATTGAATGTATGCGGACAAAATATTGTTGGCCACGTGAGACGTGAGCGTTTGTTATAGAGCGACTGTTGAAATTAAGTGTATCGTAAGTTGTATTCGGAAAGAATAAACCAGTTTAATTTAACAAAGGACTTGTGTCGCTAAAGTTTCGTCGGAACGAATTTACGGAAAATTAACTAACGAACGGAGACGTAACAATATATTTATTACCCTCGATAAGATCACACCTTTTTATGTAACATATATGTATAGTGATTATGATTTTTCGATATGACGTTAACGTAACTTTTTATATGTTCTCAACAAGACTGAGATATACGAAGAGTGAGACTCATTTCTTGATAAGACAAATACTCAATGCATATCATATCATACCAGACTTGAAACTATAACGTAGGCGTCGCGTGTAGTCATCTCTCACCAGGGGCAGCATGCTAATATCTGACGTGTACTATATACATATTAGGTACACCCATGTTTTTGTTTTTGCAGATAGTTAGTTCAGGCTATTTCTTGTTTATGACCAGAATTTTAAAGTACGAGTTAGACATAAGATATATCTAAACGTTGTAATATTGATACTGATTACTGAATGCTAAATTTTGAATCATTGGAATAGCATCTGTTTAATTTATTTTTTCATTAATTAAAGGCACATGCATTTTTATTTATTACTGACGCAGGAATGTACTGTTTAACTGTAAATCATTGTTAATATAGCACGTTTTACTTTTAGTTTTACGCATAGGAACAAGCAACGTTCTAAAAAAGTAAAATAAAAAAAAAATGAAATTTTAAATTTCAGTGATAAAGTACATGAAATATACTAAACGCCGTAGGCAGCTCAAAAACTAAAAATGACAACTAACATTAGTTTGACCTCTGGTAAGTAAATAAAATTACGAAATGGTAATAAGCCTAACTCTTGATTGATAATGATACTGATAGTTTAATAATGGTTGGAGACGGCTTGAATGGGTAATGAAGAAAAACTATAATATAAGTTTAACATAACAGCAAATGTACAACGTTTCGACAAGGTTTTGTCATCATGGTATCTGATGTTTCATTTTTATTTAAAATTTTATTTTAGACCATGTTATACTACATGAAGAATATTTTAATTTTCTAATTATTTGATTAAACTATGGACAGCCTCAAATTGGACATCTGACACAAATTGCGTATAGCATCGCCATAAGAATATTTCATTAAATATATGATTGTCGTAACTGTTCAGGCACGAAATAATGTAAGTGAAAACATTGTCATGAAGTTTTTCTTTGCCAACTGAGGAAACGAACTAAAATCGGCAACTCATTCGGTTCAGAGTTGGAGCTAAAAAAAAAGCAGATAAAAGTGTATATACCGCCTCACAAGTCCGCCAGTTCTGCGAATTGAGTGTCACTCCGTACGGGTTTGGGATGCTTCACGAAGCTTTCCAGACCTAGTCAACTGTTTTTTGCTAATAGAAATAGGTAATAGTGAACTCTGGAAGACACGTGTAAGAAAATAAGTACAAGTTCACGTTTTTTTGTCATTAGAACTTTGGATACGAAAACAGATCACTCAACAGGAATTTTTTCCGATTTTTCATTATCAAATCCGGTGCGATTTGATGAGAACATATTTTAAGTCCTGCCTTGTCCTCAAATCATTCATCCACTCTGTGTCTGTGTAAATAACAAATACTGTTCGTTTGTGTTTCACACTGTGTCGAGTCTGTTTATTTTGTTCTCATGAACTGATTTACTTAAAGACGTTCAGAACTACTGCGTGATAAATATATTCACGAATATCTTGTTATTCAGCGGGCATATAAGTTTTACCTAGACATAATACACTTATATAACACAAGTTCGCAAGGAAAGTTCAAATGTTAAACATTGTTGAGAAATGGAGAATTATAAAAATCTAAAGGTAGGTAAGGTGATTCCTGTTGTTTACGACCTCCCTTTAAGCCTGAATGAAAATGGCCAGCCATGTGGGTAGGACTAGTCACTCTGGGTAAGTCTTGGAAGTAAATTACGTTAAGTTTAGACAGTATAGTATAGGGGTCAGCAACCTGCGGCTCTTTAATGAGATTTTTGCGGTTCTCTGGCTTTACTCTTAGAAGGATTAGCTAGACAAAAAAAAAATCCACCGAGGGGAATCTAACCCCTGATTTTGGCGTTGTAACTCCGAATACTTACCGCTGTCCCACCGGGGGACTTTGTTTTTCTTTTTTAGACCGTTAGGGCATGTTGCGGCTCTCGAAATGTTTTGATCTTAGACAAAAATAAATAAATGGCCCTTCTTCTTTGAAGAGTTGCCGAACCCTCGTCTAGTAGGTGATCGCGACCAAGTCAGTCCGATAAAAATTGTTTCTGTTCCAGTAAAAGCAACCAGGACACCACTGCCAAAATCGTTGCACAATGTGTAGTATTACAGCATACCCTCCTATAGCCAGATCGGGTATTACCTAAAGAGAATGACAGAGAACAAAGGCAGCTAAAATGAAAGCAACTTAACGATTTTCTCGAAAAAACGTTATGCGAAAACTGGACATATCAGAATAACTGACAAATTTCTAATGGTACTATATTAAAAAAATATGTAGAAAACGTATGGTATTATTATACATCACACAAGCTTGAGGTGTTTTCTATATAATAGTGTTGAAATTTCAGTGATGAAACAGTTATTATTTTGATCACAATAGTGAAAAATAGCAAAAACTAAAACTGTTTTGTCTAATAGTAATCGAACACTAAATAGCTGATAAACTAAATAGGTGTATACGTTTAAAAGTGCAAAAAAAAGTCAGTTTGACGTAGTAAAGAGAAAATACGTTTAAAACAAAAACAAAAGATAATAACCGGTTACGTGGACAGTCAAAAGCAGTACTTATAGTTTGAGTGTTTGTTTGTTGTTAATCGTAAAGCTACACAGTGGGTTATCTGTGATGTGTCCACCGCGAAAAGCAAATCTCGAATTTAAGTGTTACAAACCTTCATGTTTACCTCAAGTTTACCACAGGAGAACAGAATTAAGATGAATTATTTCAAAGCAGAGAAGAGTTAAAAATGTTGTTGATTCGCTTAAAACTTTGCACACACACACATAAAATTTCACATATCGTGCGTTGTTATATTTTAATGACTTTATTACAAAATTAATTTATTTCAAATGTTGTTTAAGAGCTGTCAGTAAAAGTGAAGTGTGAAGTACTTTAGATACAGCCACTATACATTGTGAAATAGCTTAGCAATTGCATCAATAAATAAATTACTTTACGTGAGAAGAATTATGTCGAAGTATTTTTCTCTTGCATGAAGATAATTACAGGTTAAGATACATCGTATTTATTAATTAGTGGACATAATAACTTTCACTGTAGCCCATTTCCTCTGTCCCTCGGTTGGACAGGAGTAAGTTTACGGACTTGCAACGCTAAAATCCGTGGTTCGAGGTGGGCACAGCAGATAGCCCAGTATGGCTTCGCTTTAAAAGCAAACCAACCAATCAACAAATATTTCGTCTTTCTATAAAATGGACATATGAATAAAACACTGATGGTCAACAAATCTACTTGAATAGAAAGACAATCTATGATGATGAGAAACCCACTTTAAGATGAGTAAGGTTAAGAAGTGGCTTGATTGGTGATTAACAGGACGACGAAGGAATATAATTTATTGATGTATGATAAAAAGAAGATCCGAATATGTTATCAATGGATAAGAAAAGTCTCTCTCTCTATATATGAAGAAAACGTTAGTGATTGGCAGTAGAAAAGCTAAAAACGTTATTAATGTATAAGAGGAAGACATAAAATAACATGTGGCGGTTAATTTGATTTAAAGACGAAAAAATTTAACGGTTAACTCATGTATAGATTAAAAATAATGATCAGTAAAAATATATATACTAAAATGTCACTTATGGTCAAGATGACCACTCAATACGCATGTATTAAGTGTATGTCAGAGGTAGTAAGTAGAAATAATTTAACTGTAATAAACAAAATGTATTAATGATGAGATTATGAAAGAGAGAAGACCAGGCAATGGGTGTCATGTTAATGATGAGATTATGAAAGAGAGAAGACCAGACAATGTGTGTCATGTTAATGATGATGAGATTATGAAAAAGAGAAGACCAGACAATGGGTGACCTGGTCTTCTCTCTTTCATAATCTCATCATTAACATACAATGGGTGTCATGTTAATGATGAGATTATGAAAGAGAGAAGACCAGACAATGGGTGTCATGTTAATGATGAGATTATGAAAGAGAGAAGACCAGACAATGGGTGTCATGTTAATGATGAGATTATGAAAGAGAGGAGACCAGACAATGGGTGTCATTACACAAAATAATATCCATTACACTAAATGTGGAAGTTAAAGTAAAACTTTAAAGTTAAATTCAGAGTTAAAACATGCTGGAGATGTGTTGGACGTGTAGATTGTATTGTTAGCAGGAGTAAATTCTACATTCGGAAATGTAAATGTTGAGTGATTTTACACCAGATAATATTCGTTAACAGAGGAAGAAAGTCAAATTTTACACTCCAGAAGAGCGCAGATAAAATCACCTCGTATTGTACCAGTCTTCTGAAAATAAGAACTCTCAAAATGTAGTACCGAGGTCGTTAAGAAGAAGTTTGTTTTAAATCGAATAAGCTCAAGACATGAGCGAAACATGTATACAAATATGGTATTAGTTTTACCCAGAAATAGCCGTTATTTTATTGATAAGGATTTTCAATTTAAAGTAAACAGAAGAAAGGACTTTGCATGGGGTTAAACCAAAGGCGTCGCTAGGCGCACGAGACCCGTGTCACGATTCTATTTTACAGTGCCCCGAAACCCCAGTTGGTAGTTGGTATCTTGAAAAATGAAAATAGAAAACCATCAAATCAAAGGTCTTCGTCGGTGTTTCGGTCGCGACCTCTGGGGGGTGGGGGGTCAGGTTAATTTTTGACATCTCCCCCCCATCCCTGTATAGTTGTTTGTTTTCGTTTCGGTAAACGTTAATGTAGTATTAGCATGAGGGCCGGAGTTTGTATTAGGACACTTCATCTGATCCTTTTCTTCATGTTAACATTTTTGCGTGATCAACACTTCGCTTACGCTACGTCCTGCACACTCACTAACAGTTCCATGGTTACTCGCGCACTTTTCACTAGTTTAACTTACTAGAAGTGTATTTATATATATATACCCTTTAATACACTCGTAATATCTTATCCTAATGATACATCGTTAGTACTAGCTGTAGGAGGCTTATTTATTATAGTTAATGTAGCTATTTAATGGTGAGAGGTACTTAAGAACTATTCCATCATTTCTGTCAGTAGGTTCTTCTAATACAGATTTTTATGGAAATATTTTATTGTCATATGCTGGAGTCTGTCAGATATTCTGTCAGGAATGTTTGGATATTTATGTAAGAATTTTGCTGCTGTGCTTCTTGGTACGTGGTATGCTGCAGTTAATATTTTAGTGTCATATGCTGGAGTCTGTCAGGAATGTTTGGATATTTATGTAAGAATTTTGCTGCTGTGCTTCTTGGTACGCGGTATGCTGCAGTTAATATTTTATTGTCATATGCTGGAGTCTGTCAGATATTCTGTCAGGAATGTTTGGATATTTGTGTAAGAATTTTGCTGCTGTGCTTCTTGGTACGCGGTATGTTGCAGTTAATATTTTATTGTCATATGCTGGAGTCTGTCAGATATTCTGGGAATGTTTGGATATTTATGTAAGAATTTTGCTGCTGTGCTTCTTGGTACGCGGTATGTTGCAGTTAATATTTTATTG